TTCACTGAACGGTACTCAGAAGGGTTTGAACTTGCCTGGAACCTTGCCCCACCTCATCCTTTACCTGACTACAGCAGGATCCACTCCACGTCCCCTTGGCCCACTCCTCAGTCCACCTCTGTGGTGAGATCCTGGGGAGCGGCCCATTACTACAGATTGGGGGTGAGTTTTTCAGGCGCCTCTACTCCCTTTGACATCCTTCCAATTCTCTTAAACATAATTTCTTAACTATAAATGGATCCTCAGCTAGTCCTATCTGACTGCACACAATGCTGGGGCTGATGGTATGTATCCCTCTCCAACTCTTGTCTCACCAACAATGAATCTTAAACCCAGCTCCCTCTCCCAGCCACTAGAGGTCTAGTGGTCCACCAGTCTCCTTGTGACTGACCCAGACTCTCTGACCCAACAGGTTAAAAGGCAGACAGACCTTCCTCTAGACCCTCAAAACATTCTCCCAGGCCAGAAACACAAGTCTTGTCTCTTTGCAGCTCCATGTCCTGTCAATCCTATTTTAAGCAACTGTCTGTCACCTGTCCTCTCCACACCACCCACGTGAGGTGGCTACATCTTCCCAGTTACGGAGTCCTGGCCTCAGGTCCAGTTGCGCCGACTCAGATCTTTTCCTTGGTGTGGGTAATCCCATGGGTACACACACTGCCCCATTATGACATATTTTAAAATTCTTTCATTAGAAGATTGTTCCAGAAGGCCATTTTTGAAAAACATCAACCAATCAAGGATCCCAACTAAATTTAAAAAAAAATCTGTATTTCAAAATAAATTTGTCTTTCAGATCCTTGCAACAGGGAATTGCCCAAGAGGTCTTCTTTAAACTTATACAACGATTAACACCACTTTGCAAGAGGGCACACAAAAATACAGAGAGAGAGACACACACACACACAGAGAGAGAGAGAGAGAGAGAGAGAGAGAGAGAGAGAGAGAGAGAGAGAGAGCACCTCCTTTAAGGATAACCCAACAGCTTATAAAACACAACCTCCCACATTGTCAATTTTTTTCAAAAGACTCCAAACTCTGAGTTGAAATTTCACAACTTTTAAATGTCGCATATCAGTTTGAAAAGTTTTTTAAACCATGGTGCAGGCTTCCAATTTGCAGCTTTGTGCTCTCCCTCCAATGGTCTTTTGTCATAATAAAAATCAAAATTCGTTTTTAAGAATCCTTCACTTGTTTGCTAGCTGCTGCTGTGCTCCACGCAGAATTCATTGATTCCAGCACTCTCCAGAGCCGTGGAGCTCCCTCCACACTTTCAATCCAATACAGAGAAACGTCTTCCAACAGCTCAGAGTTCCATTTGTCAGTCGCACGCTAGTTGGTAGAGCAGCCACGATTCCAACCCACTCTGCAGAGACCACCTCCAGTTTCGAAGAGCCAAAGATCTGTAGAATCGTGGGCTGTTTTGCGTTTACTAGTGCCTCTGCTCAATGATTGATGGGTGAAAGAGCACACAAGTGCCTCAGTGAGTGAAAGCATAGAAATCCTCTTCTGGTTCGGCCTATATCTGCTTGAGAACCACAACCCTGCCCAGGGAGCCAAGAATGCGCTTAGTGGTCCTGTTCGGTGGCTCAGCGGGAAGCGGGGCTCGCACAATGCAGGTGCTGGCTGCTCCCTCTTCCGTTGCTTTGAGGCTCACGACAGCCCCGGCTGGCCGCTGCTTCCTGTAGCGCAGCCCTGGGCCTGCCATATCCGGCTGCCTGCATCCCAGACCCAGAAGCCCGGGTAAAGGTGGAGGACACGGCCATAGGGAAGAGGTACCCCTTATCAGGCGCGGAGCACTTGGCAGTGTCTTGGCTCAGAGAGCTGGTATCAGTCCAGGATGCACTTTGCCAGCGGTGTGGTCCGTGTACATACTCCCTCACTACTGGACTTGTTAACTCCTTGTTTTTGCCCCACCACCTCCCTACTTCCTTCCTTGACACACAATATCAGGGTAGGGGGGCGCGTCCCTTTTATTCAACACCTTTTACATCATGGAACACCTTCTTGGGTATGGAAATAGGCGGCTGAGAGCTTTGCTTGGATGAACTCATTGTGTCTACATAGAAGCCAGACCTGTTGATAAACAAGCACTTACCTGGGTTGGGGAGATAACTCAACAGGTGCCTGTCTCCAAATCTGTTCACTTTGAGTTCAGTCTCAGGATCCCGCATGTCAGAAGGAGACTCCCACAAGTCACACACACAGACACAGATACACACACACGTTTTTTTGTTTTTTTTAAAGAAGTGTTCACCTTATTTTCCAAGCTAAGCAACAGAAGACCAGATTTGTTGGTTAAAGTGCCTTTCTTTGGTCATACCGCTGGCAGGGGGCACAAGCTTAGTTCCCAGATCACTGTCTTCATATATGCTGTGTGGATTTTTTGTTTGTTTGTTTTGTTTTGTTGTTTGGTTTTTCAAGACAGGGTCTCTGTGCATAGCCCTGGCTGTCCTGGAACTCACTCTGTAGGCTGGCCTGGAACTCAGAGGTCTGCCTGCCTCTGCCTCCCTGGGATTACTGCTGTGTTTTAAAGCCAGTTTGGAGGTGTAGATGAAGGTAGAAACCAACCCCGATCCTCAGGAAGCTCCCCTTCTGATGGGAAAACATGTTCCGTCCCAGGAGATGGCCACGAGGCAGGCAGGAAGCCCACACAGGTCTCTGGAGTAGGCAGCAGCTGCTACAGACCCTGAGCCTGAGGCTAACACCTTCAGGCCACGCTTGGACCATAGCACAGTGATGACACATTCCCAGAGCCCCCAACAGCCTGGCCTGATGAAATGTCCCTCCACAGGGACATCTGTGAGTGTGTCTCTGGCCAGACCTGGAAAAGCCCAGCCCCTCAGGACAGCAGCTGGTGTGAGAAAGACCTAAGCAAAGATATTATAGCATGCATTTAGATCAACCTGCAGTGGAGGGGAGTCAGGGATGGGAAACCCTGCTTTGTAGCATGCGTGAGTTTCCATGCAGTAAATACTTTTCCATGGCCAATTTCAAGTTATCAGATTCAAAGATAGATAGTAGCATACTACTATATAATACTCCTTGCATAACAGAGATGGTACCAGTAAAATAGAGTAAAAATTAAAAATTTATGTTTGGCGTCATTATATTATTTATTTTGAGGCAGGGTCTCATGTGGTTCAGGCTGGTCTTGAACTGACTACGTGCCAAGAAGGACCTTGGACTCCTGGTCTTCTTGCCTTTACCTCCCAAGTGCTGAGATTACAGGCATGTGCTACCATGCCCAGCTGCAGTCCTTTCTAATACAGTTGATTTAAGTATACGTTTGTATAGCTTAATTTTTAATGACTGTGTTTAACAACCAACTCCCATGAGCTCTGAAATTGCAACAAGTGGCTCTCATCAAGCTGATACAAGCCAGCTCCCACAAAGCACTGGGCTGACATCATCCCTCAGCTCCTCAGCTGTGGTCTCCCTGGCTTTATCAGCCTGGTTGAATTCGCCATCTCTCTAGCCTGGGTTTCCCTCTAGTGGACAGAAGAGTCATTTCCAAGTAATTCTGCACCTGTGCCCGGAGCGCAGCAACCCCGAGCAGAGTCACTATGACTCACAGGCAAGAGTTTCTTTATTTTAAAATTTTATTTATTTATGTGTCTTTGTGTCTCTCTGTATGAATTTATGTGCATAAGAAAGTTCCTTCAAGAAAGACCATAGTGCCGACAGTGGTGGCGCACACCTTTAATCCCAGCACTCAGGAGGCAGAGGTAGGCAGATCTCTGAGTTTTGAAGCCAGCCTGGGCTACAGAACAAGTTCCAGGACAGCCAGGGCTACACAGAGAAACCCTGTCTCAAAATAAAACAAAACAAAACAAAAACAAAAACAAAACAAAACTAAACTAAACTAAAATGAAACAAAAAGACAATAGTTTCTCAATTGTCCTGAGGCACTACACACCTGGTATTCCATCCCAGTGAACGACATTATCTCCAGGATTTCTCAAAAACTCAGTGCACAATGCTTTTGCCATACACCTGTGAGGACAGGAATTCAGGTCCCTAGAACCCACATAGAGCCAGAGACAGTCGTATGTTTCTGTATTCCCAGAACACTAATGATGAGAAGTGGGGTAGAAACAAGGGAAGCCCTGGAAGGCCAAAGGCCAGCTAGTCTGGGCTGAATACAGTGATGGGCAACAACAGATCCCGTCTCAAAGAAGATGGAAGGTTGTGGACCTTTAGCAGAATCATTGTATGGGGTAGATATCAGAATGAGCAGCTGGTTTTTTTTTTTTTTTGTTGTTTGTTTTAGAAAATCTTTGACCTTAAAGAATCCTTGTGGAAAACAGTGATTGTTTTGCTGAAGGGGCTTTGCAGCCATCCCATGACTTTGGTCACATGATGCCTCAGGCACACCTGAGGCTCTTGTATTATTGTGTATTGCACACGATACATAATGAAGGACTAGAGTCATGGGGGCATGTGATGCTCTCCTTTAGCAAGACATGTAAATTAGGATTAGGGACCCTGGTATGAGGAAATACTTTGTGTAACAATCAATATGCCTTTGTACAGCTGTTCGGAGTTCAGTCCATCAGAAGAAGCTGGACCTTCCTGCTGTCACGTAATTTCATCTTGGAGTGCCTTCTTTCTTCAACCGACCCCCGCTGCACAGTGCACCCCAACAGAAGGTGACTGACTAAGGTCATCTCTGGCCTCCATACAAACGCATCACACACACACACAATCTTGTACCCTGTGTAGCAGCTCAGGATGGCTACATCAGCCCATCAGGCTTGGGGGCCAGCCCTCCCTTTTCGGTTATCAGGTCTTTAAGAAGGAAAACTGGAAGAGCCACTTTGGGAAGCAAGGCTGACGTCCACACAGAAGGAAAGGGAGCCAATCAGATACCGAGCTGAACTCAGAACACCCCCTGCCTCACTGTGCTTGGAATATTAGGAAGTAATCTTCCCAAAGTGGAGATCCACCTAGGTTCTTCTGCCCCCAAACCCATGACTGTCTATCACTTTCCTTTCCAGCTTCTCTGCCATGGAGTCAAGCATTGACTGGGAAATCAACAGATCATTTGCCTCAATTCCCCAAGGAAAAAAAAAAAAAGCAGAAAACTGACACTCTGGAAGTTGTATGGGACAGGCAAGTCACCAGGCTGAGCAGACGGCACTTGAATTCTGTATTGCACCGAAACTGGGGGTGATCACCTTACAGATGGGGAAACTGAGGATTGGCACAAGCTGGTCTAGTTTGACCAGCTTCCCAATGGAGAACTCTTCTGTGCAATCCACTTACTTCTCTTTATGAAAGCTGCTGTTTTCCTGTTGGGCCTGGCTGCTTCCTCAGGTTGTCTACAGAGCTAAGCACAAAGTCCCCAGAACCCTTTTCCCACTGTGCTTAGGGCCTAGGTCACATTCCTTAGAGGGTTCTAAGGGAGGGGGGGGGGGGGCTTTGCAGTGAAACCCAAGCAGAGATAACGGAGCCACTGATATGGAATGAAAAATTAGCCCTTAATCTGATTAAATGCTTCAAACGCTCCTTTCTCATCCTCTCCCAACTTTCTCCTCATTTTTGCTGGGAGACTTGGTGTTTTTGTTTTGTTTTGTTGTGTGTGTGTTTTGTTTCGTTTTGTTTTGCAGTGCTAGGCCTCAGACCAGAGCCTTACCCATTCTACATCCCCAGCTGCTGGAACCCTTGACATCTCCAAGGCTCAGATTAAATATCCCCGCCCCCTCCCGCTCCAGAAAGCCCTCCACACTCTTTGGTCCAATCTGCAGAAGGAAAGTAAGAATTGCAGTAAAGGACGAGCAGGTTGCTGGCTGAGCGTGAGGGCTGAGCACACACGTGTTTATCTCCACTTACTCCTTCAGGTCCACTGACGCCACAAGTGGTTTAGGAAAAAGTTGTGTGACGTTTAAACTCACGAGGACAAAATGAAAGAAAGATAAAAAGTTGAGTGCACACCTCATATCATATATGAAAACTAACGAGTGCTGGGTGTGGAGTCTAATGCCTGCAATCCCGGCACCCCAGAGACTGAGCCAAGAGAATGGAAGGTTTCAAGCCTACCTGTGCTACATAGCAAGACCCTCTCAAACAAAAGAGAGGATAGAGGAGGAGAGGGAAAGAAAATTCAAATGGATCTAAATATAGGGGCGGAAGAGATGGCCCCACGTACAAGAGCACTTACTCACTAAGAGCACTAGACTGGAGGTCAGGTCCCATCCAGTAGCCAGGTGCAGTCTCACACAGACCTGTAACTCCAGCACTGAGAGGGGCAGACGAAGGATGATTGCTGGAGCTTGTTGGCTGGCTGCCAGCCTATCAAAAATACAAGCTCCAATTTCAGTGAGAGACCCTTCCTCAAAGGAAATGGGAGGTCTGGAGAGATGGCTCAGAGGTTAAGAGCACTGGCTGCTCTTCCAAAGGTCCTGAGTTCAATTCCCAGCAACCATAGAGTGACTCACTACCATCCAGAATGAGATCTGGTGCCCTCTTCTGGCCTGCAGGGATGCATGCAGGCAGAACACTGTATACATAATAAATAAATACATCTTTAAAAAAAAAAAAAAGGACTCTTTCCCTCGACCCTCGCCCTTCACTACCCCCACTCATGTCCAGGCTGTTCATGTAGATCTTATTCCATTTCTCTGTCATTGGGCGATCCCTGTGTCTTTCTTGGGGTCCTGTTTTCCAGGTAGCCTCCCTGGTGATGTGAGTAGCAGTCCAGTCATCCTTGTTCCACATCTAGTATCCTGCTATGAGTGAGTACATACATGTTTGTCTGAGTCTGGGTTACCTCACTCAGGATGATTTTTTCTAGATCCATCCATTTGTCTGCAAACCTCATGATGTCATTGTTTTTCTCTGCTGAGTAGTATTCCATTGTGTATATGTACCATATTTTGTTTATCCATTCTTCATTTGAAGGGCATCTAGGTTGTTTCCATGTTCTGGCTATTACAAACAATGCTGATATGAACATAGCTGAACGAGTGCTTGAGGGAAAGAGAGCTTGGGGGAGCGGGAGATCCCAGCTGGATCAACAACAGAGAGGGAGAACAAGGAATAGGAGACCATGGTAAATGAAGACCACATGAGAATAGGAAGAAGCAAAGTACTAGAGAGGCCCACAGAAATCCACAAAGATACCCCCACAACAGACTGCTGGCAATGGTCGAGAGACAGCCCGAACTGACCTACTCTGGTGATGGGATGGCCAAACACCCTAATTGTCGTGCTAGAAACCTCATCCAACTACTGAGGGATCTGGATGCAGAGATCCATGACTAGGCCCCAGGTGGATCTCTGGGAGTCCAATTAGCGAGAATGAGGAGGGTTTATATGAGTGAGAATTGTTGAGACCAAGGTTGGATAAAGCACAGGGACAAATAGCCAAACGAATGGAAACACATGAACTATGAACCAATGGCTGAGGGGTCCCCAACTGGATCAGGCCCTCTGAGTGGGTGAGACAGTTGATTGGCCTGATCTGTTTGGGAGGCATCCAGGCAGTGGGACCGGGTCCTGTGCTCATTGCATGAGTTGGCTGTTTGAAACCTAGGGCCTATGCAGGATCGCTTGGCTCGGCCTGGGAGGAGGGGACTGGACCTACCTGGACTGAGTCTACCAGGTTGATCTCAGTCTGTGGGGAAGGCTTTGCCCTGGAGGAGATGGGAATGGGGGGCGGGCTGGGGGAAGGTGAGGGGGGCGGGAGGGGGGAGAACAAGGGAATCCGTGGCTGATATGTAGAACTGAATTGTATTGCAAAATAAAAATAAAAAAAGAAAAAAAAAAAAGGAAACAGGAGAATGATAGAGGAGGACACCCCATGCCCTCCTCTGGCCTCTGTGCACACTTTCACATACACACGTGTATACCACACACACATATGCACCACACACATGCATGCACACAAAGACCTAAATCTAAATAAAAGTACTAGAACTCTACTCTTTAGGGACTATAGGGATGAGTCTAGAAGGCCTTGGATTTTGCAACTGATTCTTAAATATGACATCAATATTTGTAAGTAACAACAGCAAAAAAAAAAAAAAAGGAAATTAGATTTTATCAAAATTAAAAACTCAGGCAGGTATGATGGCTCACACTTGTAATCCCAGCATTCTGAAGGCTGAGGAAGAAAGATTTTGAGTTCATGACCAGCCTGGATTACATGGGCTAGCCTGGGCCACAGAGAGGCATTTAAAAACTTTTGTGCCAAGGCTCCTTTAAACCCTTTCCCTTCTCAACATCTTTCACTTGAGTATTTGTTTTTGAGGCCTGGAGTTCACTATGTAGCCCAGGCTGGCTTGCCTCTGTCTCCTGAGTGCTGAGATTAAGGGCATGTGCCATCACATCTAACTTCACCTGAAAAATTTCTATGTGGCCCTGGGTATGTAGGTCTATAAAATAGGTATAAAAATCAAACACCGTGCCGGGCGGTGGTGGCGCACGCCTTTAATCCCAGCACTCGGGAGGCAGAGCCAGGCGGATCTCTGTGAGTTCGAGGCCAGCCTGGGCTACCAAGTGAGTCCCAGGAAAGGCACAAAGCTACACAGAGAAACCCTGTCTCGAAAAACCAAAAAAAAAAAAAAAAAAAAAAAAATCAAACACCAACAGACAAGAAATCAGAAAAAATTTCACCTTTATATATATATATATATATATATATATATATATATGTATGTATGTATGTATGTATGTATGTATGTATGTATGTATATATATGTTTTTCAAGACAGAGTTTCTCCGTGTAGTGTAGTTTTGGTGCCTTTCCTGGAACTCGCTTTGTAGACCAGGCTGGCCTCGAACTCGCAGAGATCCGCCTGGCTCTGCCTCCCGAGTGCTGGGATTAAAGGCATGTGCCACCACCACCCGGCTAGTTTTTATAATTTTTTAAAGGTGAGTGAAAGCAGGGTTCAGTGATGGGTGCCTATTATCCTGGAACTTGGGAGGTAGAGGCAGGAGATTAAGGAGCCCAAGGGCAGCCTCAGCCAGGACCCTGTCTCAAAATGAAAATAAATTTAAAAGAAAGAAAAATAGAATAAGAAGACAAGAAAAAAAAAGTCAGCAGGTCATCCCTTGCCACACAAGCCTGAACGCTTGAATTCATCCGTTAAACCCACATGAGGGTGGAAGGAGAGAACCAAGCCTGACCTCCACACATGTGCTCTGCACACACGTGTCCATCCACTGTCACTGCCTCACTGTTACATAAAGTAAAGGGAAAGATGGCTCAGCAATTAAGAGTACTAGCTATTCTTCCAGGGAGTGGGGTTCAATTCCCAAGGCTCACATGGTGGCTCACAACCATCTGTCACTCCAGTTCCAGGGGATCTGATGCCCTCTTTTGGCCTCTAAGGGCACCAGGCACACACATGGTGCATAGACAGGCATGCAGGGAAAACACTCATAGATATAAAATAAAATAATAAAATAAATTTAAAAATAAATTTAAAAAATTAAACCATGAAACCAATTTTTCATAATTAGCAAAACTTTTATGAATCCAAGACACTACCAAGAAAGTGAAAAAAAAGGGGGGGCTAGGCAGATGGCTCAGGGTAAGGGGCAGTTACTGTTACTGCAGAGGACCCAGGTTCAATCCCCAGCACCTTACAACCATCTATAACTCCGGTTCTGTGGGATCCGCCCTCTTCTGACCTCTTTTGGGCACCAGGCATGTATGTGGTGCACACACATATACAAATAAGCAAACATTCATATGCATAAAATACAATCAACAAACCTAATTTTTTTTTTTTTTTTTTTTTTTTTTTGGTTTTTCGAGACAGGGTTTCTCTGTGTAGCTTTGCGCCTTTCCTGGGACTCACTTGGTAGCCCAGGCTGGCCTCGAACTCACAGAGATCCGCCTGGCTCTGTCTCCCGAGTGCTGGGATTAAAGGCGTGCGCCACCACCGCCCGGCAATTTTTAATAAATTTTGAAAAACCAGGCAGCAAGGTTCAGCATGCATTTGAGGAAGTCCTCCGACAAAAAAAACCACAGGGCACTGTAAACAATGAAGAATTCAAAGAGAATAGAAAAAACAGAGGAAAAGGAAAATTTTCAAGCTTTAAAATTAATATAAAACCCATAAGTAGCCTCAGAGGGGAGGGGGGAAGAACAGGAAGCTACAAAAAAAGAAAGTTTAGAGAAGTGTAGCATTATGTTCCACACCTGGAGTCCCAGCATGCAGGGGGTCACAAGTTCAAAACCAACTTGGGCTGCATCATGAGTTTGATGTGAGCTAGGATTATAAAGGCAAACTCTGTCTGAAACAAAGCAAAACAAAAACAGAAAAGAGCAAGTAAGGAGAGAAGAGGAGGAGAGAGAACATTTAGGAAATTAAAAAAAAACATTTAGGAAATAAAAACTATAATGGCAAAAAAAATAAATTAGTAAGCCCACAAAAATTGTGAGGTTCATTGTTCATAGTTTGAATGGGGAGTTCATGCTATGGTAGGTGTCATCACTGGGATCATTATCCAAATGACTGAACTCAACTCTGGTTCTATATCACCTTCCCCAGAGATTAGATTAATACCAGATGGCTCAAAGCACCAATTTTTAATCACATGGTTGGGTTCTCCGGCATGTGTCATCTTAAACTATGTAAGGGTCTACAGTGAATCACCTTATTAGTACAAACTATCAGGGCCTCTGTGATAACGAAGACGATTCTGATACTTGGGGAATTCCAAGGCTCGCTTCCTGCCTCCCTGGGACAAAGTCTAGTCAAATTCTTTATTACAATAGACCCACACAAGAGCACATTGTTGACTTCAGAATGCCAGAGACAGAGTACAAGCTCAAAGAGCTCAGAAAGACAGGTGACATACAAAGGCTTGTAGAACACATGATGTTGGTCTTCTCAGTACAGCACTGGTTGCTAGGAAACAAGAAAGCAACACCTTTATAATTCTCAGGGGTAATCTAAAATTTTATACCAAGCCAAACTAGCCACCCAAATCGAGGGTATAATAAACACCATTTCAGAAAGGCTGCATCTCAGAATCTTTTCGTTCCAAGTACACTTTCTCAGGCAGATGTTGGATGATGTGCTTCACTAGAGTGAGGAAGTAAATCAAGAAAGAGGAAGAAATGAGCTCTAGATGACAGGCCATCAACACAGGAGAGAAGCAGCGGGGATTTCCAGAATGAGAGAGAAGGGAAGTTCTAGGCTGAGAGTGGTGAAGCTGGCCAGGAAACCACTAAGTTCGGATTCCAATAGGAAGACAAATGGTTCCCAGACAGTAATTCCAAGAAAAGAGAAATGTAACTGACAAATTGATAACCAGGTATGTTGGACGGAATGAAGGAGTCTTTGTAGCTGGTGTGAATGGGAGGCGGGTGTTTCAATACCTAATAAGTACATAGAAACAAAAGAAAAATGAAGCAATTCAATGCTGAAGAAATGTTTAAAAAGGAGTGGTAAAGTTGGGCTGGTAACACACACACACACAGAGAGAGAGAGAGAGAGAGAGAGAGAGAGAGAGAGAGAG